GCGGGAGACCCCACAGGGGGAGCTGCGGCCAGGGGTTGTAGAGGATGAAATTCCTAGGAGCCCAGTGGCAGAGGAGCCTGGAGGAGGAGGTGGAAGCAACAGCAATGAGTCCAAATTGTCTCCAAGAGAGGAGGAAGAACTGGATCCTAGAATACAGGTGAGAAGACTGAGTCTGGGGAGAGAAAAGACATCCAGCCGGCAGTCTTCCTGAAGAACTGTCAGATGAACAAGAGCTAAGGCTTCTCTCCCCAGTATCCTGGGGCAGGAAAGAAAACAAGTTTGTCAACACAGCATTGTAATTTAGTGTGGCAAGTGCCAAAAGAGGTGTGTGTGTGTGTGTGTTTGTGCACGCACGTGCAGGGAAGGCCCTGAGTGCCAGGGTGTGTTGCTGAAAGCTTCCCTGCAGGAAGCCCAGGGTCAGGTTGTTCATGGAAACCAGAGGCACACTTTAGGTCAGCCAGAGTAGAACTGCTGTGCTTCTTTCTAGGTGAGCGGAGGGGCCATTAGGGAGTGAGGGATCTTTCCTTCTTTCTACCTTTTTCAGCAGTGTCTCCCAGGAACATTCCCTTCTGTAGGCTGTGAGACCTTTCAAGTGTTAGGAAGGAGGCCCTGGGTTTGGACCTAGAAGGTAATCTTCTGTGTTCAAGGCTTTCCGTCAGCCATGGGCAGTCCATAATAACACGTTGCCGGCTCTCAGGTTGGAGGGTCTACCAGAGGAATGGAAGAGCAGTTTATTGCCTTGGGTGTTTACAGTCCAGCTGGAGAGCAGACAGGGGGAGCTGCGGCAAGGTGAGGAAGCCCCATGTGGAGGAGCTCCCTGGCCTCGGTTCTAGTGCTGGGTTGTAATGTTCAGGGTGTTGGCTATGAAGGTCTTTCTGGAGAGTGCTTGGACAGGTGACAGCCATGATGCTCCTTGTATTTGAGGCCTGATCTGCCATTTGGTCAGGTTGCATCGCCAAAGTTCTGGTATCAGAAAGTGACTCACCCTTCTCTAGTTGAGCAATAGTGTCCCAGGCTTGAGTTCTTGGGTTTCTCTGTGAGCAGACCTTTATTGGATCACTGCAGTGAGTTGCTAAGAAATAGAATCTGGTCCTGGCATCCTATGGCCATTGTGGTCTGAGTTCCCAGGTTATGTGCATGTGGGTGGCTCTTAGACTGTGCCCGTGTTTATAATGGAGCAGAGTGAGCCATTCATTTCTGCTGTGAGTGGGTAATTTATTTCTGTTGTGCCTCATGGACACTGCATTGAAAACAGCTTGAGTGTTCTTTCTAATTCTACTGTCCACTAAGGAAATAAGTTGTATTAACAGTGTTGGGCTGTACTATGAGCATTGGTTTTTAGGAAAGTTGAGGCCCAGTTTCTTCATGTGTGAGGCAAGGGCTTGGTCTGGCTGACCTGATTGGCTCATGTTGGCTCTGCTCGGACACAGGTGTACAGTCCTTTTCTTTTACAAATTCTTTTGCTTGTCTTTTGGTGAGAGTTCGCAGTGGTGCTTTGGGACAGAGCTCTCTGTTCTTGAAGAGGGCCTCTGACAGGCACTATTCCTCCTGCTTCAGGGGGGCCTCTAGAAGAGAATCCAGTGCTGTGGCTTCTCTGCTCTCCTGCTTCTGTGCATTTTCCGATCTCTGCACAGGCAAAGGCACAGAATGAAGAGTCACATTTGCACCAGGCTGTCTGAAAAGGCGAGCTGCAGCTTCTGAACGTGCTATGTAAAAAATATTAATTAAAATAAAATAAAAAGTGATTCTTCTGACAGTGCTGTGCTGAAGGTGCAGACGCAGAGCACATCCATGGTCACAGGCAGCTCTGCGAGGGTGGAGTGTCCTGAGGACACTGTGGAGCTTGCAGGCTGCATGAGGAGGAAAGGCCCCTGGCAGCCTCCCTCGTTTGAGGCCATGAGTGTGGCAGGCCATCATGCCAGCCTCAGCAGGGGTTGGTGTCTTCTCACCCTGAGGGAGAAGCAGCCTGGTGTGAGGGACATCTTTCCTGGAATAGGCCGTGGCACTTAACCCTCCAGTGTTTGGGTCCCTCTTCTGGACATGGAGGAGTTTCGGGCCTGTGTCTTTCGAGGTCCATTTTCGTGTTGACAGTGACCAAGACCACGTCACCTACTGATGTGTTTGGGTGCTTTAAATGGCTGTCCGTTTTTCTGGATTCTCATTGCATTGGATGGGGCTCCATCAGAACACACGAGGGAGCTTTCAAAATCACCCTCCCCTGACTTGCCAGTCATTTGGATTCTCACAGGTGGGGTACAGAGTGACTCTAATGCACAGCCTGGGTGGAGTCCACTGGCACATGGATATCCCAGAGGGCCTGGTTTTTGTATTTTCCAAAGTTCCCAGAAATGGTTGTCCATGGGGTGAAGCCCTCAAGTGGACTGGGGCCCCTTGGCCACACATGCCTGCTGTCTGTGGGACCACGCTGGAGGGTGGAAGGAGGCTGGTTGGCAGCTACCTGTGGTGTGCTTTCTCGTTCAGGAAAGGTCAGTGCTGCGTCCCTGTGTTGGGACTTCAGTGGAAAGTTCTCCAGCTTCCAGAGAGAGTGTTGCAGTGGGAGGAAGGGGAGAGGAGGGTGGTGCTGGGTGGATCTGGGTCTCCCCTACGTTTTCCTCCATCTCCTCTGTGGTGGGCACATTCTTCTTTTGCACCCCCCCCCCTAGACTCCTTGGAGTGACTTCGCAATGTGTGTCCTTATCTGGAAGTGTTGGTCTAGCTGAGGGAGCTGTGCCCGGGTTGCTTGAGTGTTTTTGACGGCTTGCACTAGGTGGGGCGGGAGCCTCTGTCCTGAGTGCCCATGCCTTTGACTCAGTGGCTTGGCATCCTGAGAGTGCAGCCAGTGTGCCCGGGAAGGTCACCCTCCCTGCTGGCTGCTGCTCACTGATGGATGAGGCACGCTGACTCAGACTGTCCTCCCTGCGTTCCGTTGGAGCTGAGAGCCAGGAGTGCTGGTGGAGCCAGCCAATGGCCTGTTGCCGATGGGCCAGGGTGGTGCCTGGAGTTCTCGATGGCTTCCCACTCAGCTTTGCTGTGTGTTTGTGTCCCCTTTTCTCTCTCTGCAGGCCTCTCTGCTGCCTCTCCTGTCCTGCTGGACCCCACAGGGCAGAGCTGAGCAAGTGGTGTGTTAGTTGTAGGAAGTGCCTTTGGGGTGCTGGTTCCTATGTAATGAGATGATGTCTGCTTCTGCCACGGGCTGATAGCAAGAGCCCTTGTCAATTTTCCACCAGGGACAACTTAACACCGAGCCCTTCTCCTCATTGTCTGGGAGTTGGGGGTGGGGAGCACTCTGGGTCATGGAACCAGGTGGGGATCTGATCCTGGATCTTGCTTAGCTCAGGTGGACACTGCAGAGTGAGCTTGTCCCGCCTCCCTCTTCTCTCCCTTGGAATAAAAGCTTACTGCATTCCTGAGACCTGTTCTTTGCCTACCCAGTGGTGATCACAGCAGTCCTGTCTTTTCTGAGCCATTCGTGGAAGGACAGCCTCAGTCCCAGATGATGGCCACAGTATCAGGACAGTGAGATCAGACCCGACTCGGTCACCATCCCCCCTCGTTGGGTTGTCCCTCTCTACGCGGATGAGCTGGGGAGGAGCCTCACGCCGCATCTGTCAAGGGAACTGGCCCCTCTCTCTGCGAGGCAGTCAGGAACCTGCTGGCCCTGTTAGGGAGGTGCTCTGTAATTAGAGCTGATGCTGCTCCCTAGGCGTCCTCTGCCTCCTCAGCCTGTCTGTTGGCTGCCCGTCCGGAGTGGCTTGCTCTGACACCGGGTTGTGGTTTACTTCCCCCGATGCACCGACTGTTAGCTTGCACTGTCAAATACAGGAGCCACGTGCTACTGTCTGAAGTTGGGATGTGCCCTCGGAATCAAATGCAGTGGATTTTTGTTAAGGTCTGTAGACAAGTCAAAATAACACGTGGTATTTTGCCAGAGAAATGTTAAGAGTTCGTAAACAAGTCTGGATGGTGCCTGGCAAAATGCCAGAGGGAGTGGTTTGAAAAGTAACAAAAGCAAGCCATTAAGTGTGGAGATTCCTTATTGGTTGACTGATGTATCTAGTTTATGCTAATTAAGATAAGCTGTGCAAAATGTATAAATAGCTCTGTTGCCCTACAATAAACGGCTCCTATTCCTGCTGTATCAACATACCCAAGTTATTCGTCACCCCCGGCTATTCTGCCGGACTGCGGCAGATTTTGAAAAGCATTTAAAAAAAAAAAAAGTGGTTCATATTTTAGGTTGATTGCATGTTGACATAACATTTTAGTATTTTGGGTTAAAAGCAGTGTGTCACCAATGGAGACATCCCCGTGGGGCATGTATTAATCTTATCCCCAAAACTTGATTTCCTCTTTTGTGTGTGTGTGTGTGTGTGTATGGGGGGGGATGACCAGGGATTGACCTCAGGGCACTCAACCACTGAGCCACACTCCCAGCCCTATTTTGTATTTTTTTTTAGGGACAGGGACTCAGTGAGTTGCTTAGTGCCTTGCTTTTGCTGAGGCAGGGCTTTGAACTCCTGTCTCAGCCAGCCCCCTGAGCCTCAGGATTATAGGCATGCACCACAGCGCCCAGTGATTTCCTCCTCTTTAACTTGGGGGTTTATCAGGCCCACAGGTGGAGTTTCAAGGGTCGTGTTAGATGGTACCCAATAGGTATCTGACAGGGACATGTTGGGACAGTCCCTCCTCCATGTCTTTCCCCTTCCCCGGCATCTGGCCTGCCTCTCCTGGCCCACTGGGTACCGTCTCTCTTCCCCTGCTCTAACCACGCTCTCTGTGCAGGAGGAACTGGAGCATCTAAACCAGGCCAGTGAGGAGATCAACCAGGTGGAGCTACAGCTGGACGTGAGTCTCTTTCTTCACACCCTTGGGCTGGTCTCCGGGGATGTCTCCATTGGTGTCTTGCCCAGATGGAGAGAGTGAGAGGAATGGGTGTGTCTGAGGAACCAGAGGCCTGGGAGCCATGTACATGCTCTTCCTCCACCCTGTCCCTTTGCCAGGAGGCCAGGACCACCTATCGGAGGATCCTGCAGGAGTCTGCGAGGAAGCTCAACACGCAGGGCTCCCACTTGGGGAGCTGTATTGAGAAGGCTCGGCCCTACTATGAAGCTCGACGGCTGGCTAAGGAGGTAGGACTGCATGAGCCTGGCCTGGACTCTGTCTGCACCCAGAGGGCAGAGCACTGGCTGTGCTTCAGATCAGCTCTGGGCCAAGAAGGCTCCTTCACCACTGTGGGCTAAAGACCTAGAAAATAGGGGTAGGTGGGTGCATTCTGCTCTAGAAGCTATTCAGCCTTTCTGGTGTTGATTTTATTTTATGTTTTACATAGCTGGGATGGAACCAGGGCCTGGCTCATGCCCTCCCACTTAATTGCCCCTTGACTGCCACCTGCTGCTAAGTACCTTCTGTGCATGAGGGCTCAGGCCCTAGGTGCATCTGATAGGGCCAACATCTTCCACTTCCTGTCTCTCCTCTTTCCTTTGGTTCTTGTCTTTTCTGTGTCTTTGCTTGACCATCCTTCTTACCCCCATCCATCTTTTTTCTTTGCACAGATAATGTGGATTCATCATTGGAAGACTGTAATAGAAACAAGAAAAATCCAAAATCTCTCCCAATTCTGTCATGCACTTTATACTCAGGATTTGTTTGATCCAGTGTGGGAAGGTGCTAGGCAAGGGGACAGCTGCCTTGAAAGAGTTCATGCCTTAGGAGTTGAGGAGGGGACCTGCCATGCCATGCAGGGCCACATGGGGGAGCACCAGGGTCATTGAGGCAGAGGTGACTAGGGAAGCCAGCCCAGAGCATCTGTTGTGGTTTTGTGGGAAGCAGCAGCTAAAGCAGGGCAGGCTAGTCTGAGTGGATTTCATATTGAATGGTCTGCATAATTCTGCCGGGCTCTGGGCTCTGGGCTCTGAGGGTGGTCTCTCATTATCTGTAGCTGACTCTGCAGTGATGTAGGGCAGGGGAAGTATTGGCCTGAGTAAGAGGTTGATAAAGGAGATGTCTGGTTGGGATCCAGGCCTTGGATTAGCTGGTTTACCTGTGAAGGATGTACACACACAGAATCTGACCAGGTCCAGGCATTTTTCTAGCCCTGGGAGGAGCAGACCCTCTTGACCAGCAAGGCACCCCAATGCCAGATGATGGAGAAATATAGAAAATAAAAGGTATGAGTAATGCAGCATAGATAGCCACATATAACCACATGGGCATTCTTTGTAGTCACTTTGGTGTATTTTCTGCCAAAGTAGGTTATACAATATGTGCTGTTTTTGTCCCTTGTTTTACTTAGCTTTATGATATGGGCATGTGCTAGGCAATGCTCCACCACAGAGCCACATCCCCAGCCCCCATGCCATCATCCTTTAAAGACGTAGGAATATTTTCTTGTTTTACTTGTTTAGTATGTTTTCTCTCAGAACTTGGGTTAACATTGTTTCCAGTTTTTTGCTTGGTTAGTATAGGTTGAGTGTTCTTTTCCTGAGATGTTTAGGACCAGAAGTGTTTCAGGTTTGTTCAGATTTTAGAGTATTTGCATAGACATAATGAGATATCTTAGAGATGGGGCCCAAGTCTAAACATGACAGTTATATTATGACATAAACACCTTTGGACATTGCCTAAAGGTACTGGGGATTGAATCCAAGGCCTAACACATGCTAGGAAAGCTCTCTACCCCTGAGCTGCATCCCTAGCCATTTTTTTTTAATTTTTTTTATTTTGAGGCAGGGTCTTGCTAAGTGCCCGGGCCGGCCTCCTGAGTATCTGAGCTTAGGTATGTACCACCTCACCTGGTGTACCCAGGTGCTTTGGCAGTTCTGTGCCTGGACAGTCATGTGGTATGCCATCTTTCACTTGTGGCATTGTGCTGTGGTTAGAAAACTTCAGATTTGGGAACGTGGTGGGGTCTTGGACTTGAGTCAGGGATACTCAACCAACCCACGTGATTGTGATGAATGTCTTGGGAAATTACGTGGTCATTTGCTTCAGCTTGCTCCCAGGATGTGGAGTTGATCCTAGAGAGTGACTTTCTGTAAGACTCAATCCATGTTGCTAACTACCTTCCAACTGAAATGGTGTGGGTTTTCCCAGGGCAAAAGGCCAGCAGACTTTGAGTGATGGATTTCACAAGCTACCATCTATGGGCAGCATCATTCCTTCTGGGGTTTTGGGTTTTTTCCCCAGTACTAGGGATTGAGCCCAGGGTGCTTTAACCACTGAGCTTCCTCCTTGGGCCATTTCATTTTATGTCAGAGACAGGGTCTTGCTAAGTTGCCAAGGCTGGCCTAGAACCTGGGATCCTCCTGCCTAAGCCTTCGGTCTCTGGGATCACAGGTGTGTGCCACCATGCCTGGCTAGTAGCATTCATTTTAATATTCATTTCTATGTTTATTTCTTTCCTCATCCATTTCCTTACGATATGTTCCCTATAGAATGCTACTTCAGTGGTATTTAACCTAACATTGCAAGTTAGTCTTTCTCCATCTTTCATCCTCAAGCCTGAGGTGGGTCCTCCTGGTGGGGGCTCCCTGTCCTGATGGCCATCTCCCCCCAGGCCCAGCAGGAGACACAGAAGGCAGCCTTGCGGTATGAGCGGGCTGTGAGCATGCACAATGCCGCCCGGGAGATGGTGTTTGTGGCCGAGCAGGGGGTCATGGCTGACAAGAACCGACTGGACCCCACGTGGCAGGAGATGCTCAACCATGCCACCTGCAAGGTGGGTGGACGTTGCCAGCAGGTCTGTGAACGTTCTAGTTCTTCTTTCATTGTCCCTTCATCCCCTTACCTCTTCATTTCTCCCTCTCTCCACCACTCCAGCCTTCTCCGTTGACCTCTGGGGCTTCCCGTGTGCCCTTCCCTCTGACTTAGAATGGCATTGTATCAAGCTGTCACCTCTGAGTGTGGGCTGACCCCAAAGTCTCACCGGGTGGATGTCCTGGTTCGGCACTCACATCTTGTGAGGCTGAGCTCTGTGATACCTTTCTTCTGTTGCACGATGTGCAGTTTTGTTGTCATGTACCTTGATTTTGCAGTGTGATTTATGTATCATTTCCAAGCTCCTGAAAGTAGACTGGGGACAGGAGGATCTCTGGCTGGGCTCCTTCTGACCTTCGGCATATACAGGGCAAGCGCCAGCTCCTGGGAGTGGCAGTGTTGTGGTTCTTTAGCTGCTCCTTGCACAGAGGGCACAGGCTTCTGCTGTGGAGCTCACACAGATGCAGGCAGGCACAGGGCATTGTGGGATGGGCTATCGAAACTGCACCATGGGACATTAAGGGATGTCCTGATGGCCATCCCTTGGAGTCTGTGCTTGCCTGGAATATGGTATGATAGCCCTGCTGGACACTGTGGCCAAAGCTCTCCCCTGCTCCCTGCTCACCTGTAGCTCTGGACTGTGGACACCTGGGGTGTGGAAGCCTGGAGAACCCCATACATGGCTGAGATTCCCCACAGGCTCCTCCTCTCCCTGACCCCTTGCCACAACTGTGGTGGCCGCGGGTGGACATTGTGCCCAGGACAGACATTTCTTCTGTGTTCCTGAGATGGCTGTAGCGCCTTTCTTGGCGTCAGCAAAGCTGAGTGGCAGGTAGTGCAGGGACAACAGGCGGGACAGTGGGGGAGAAGTGGCTGCAGGGGATGTGCTTGAGACCTGGTCCTTGAAGACCAGGAGATCAGGCAGCAAGTGCAGAAAAGATGGAAAAGAGGCTGTCCTTAGGCCGGTGGACCCACGTTCCCCTGCGGACGGCTTGCAGATGGGGGGCTTGCTGAGGCCTTCCCATGCAGGTTCCCTTGAGCTTAGGCATGTGCCAGGGACTGAAGCGTGTGTTCCAGCTCAGTGACGCGTGTCCCTTCCTCACACCGGCCAGGTGAATGAGGCAGAGGAGGAACGGCTTCGAGGCGAGCGGGAGCATCAGCGAGTGACGCGGCTGTGCCAGCAGGCTGAGGCCCGTGTGCAGGCTTTGCAGAAGACCCTCCGGCGAGCCATCGGCAAGAGCCGCCCCTACTTTGAACTCAAGGCGCAGTTTAGCCAGATCCTGGAGGTAGCTGGAGTGCAGCGGGGTATGGGCAGGTGGGAGTGTGGGAAGAGGAGGGGCTGCACAGAAATTGAGGGCAGGTCAAGGGATGCCACCTGCCGGGTGAAGCACAAGTGCTAGAATGACCCTATAGGAGAAGGGTGGATGGGGCTTGTCCTGGCAGAGAAACTGGTTGAAGAAGGGAGGTCAGTGGGAAGAAGAATTGTTGAAAGCCCTGGGATGGGGAAGAGGACAGAGGGCGGGGGCCTCTGGTGGGGACTGAGAGCTGGGAGGACAGCTCCAGAAGGCAGAGTGGGCCTGGAGCAGGGCAGGACACCCGGGATGGAAGGACCGACCAGAGGAGGCACACAGGGATGGTGCTGCAGGTCTGCTCTGTACCCAGCACTGCCAGGCCTCCAGGATAGGAGGCCATGGCCTAGATGTAGAGTGCCAAGTGGGGCTGAGTGATGTCCCGTGCTTACCTGTCTTGCCCTCACCTGTCTTGCCCTCTGCAGGAGCACAAGGCTAAGGTGACAGAACTGGAGCAGCAGGTAGCACAGGCCAAGACCCGCTACTCAGTCGCTCTGCGCAACCTGGAGCAGATCAGCGAGCAGATTCACGCGAGGCGCCGGGGCCTGCCTGCCCACCCGCCAGGTCCACGGCGCTCCTCCCCTGTGGGGGCTGAGGCTGGGCCTGAAAGCCTGGATGACGGGGACAGCGGCATTGAGGGTGCTGAAGGTGGGGGGCTGGAGGAGGGTGGCAGTCTAGGGCCTGGACCTGGCGCGGACACAGACACACTGAGCCTGCTGAGCCTGCGCACCGTGGCCTCTGACCTGCAGAAGTGTGACTCGGTGGAGCACCTGAGGGGCCTCTCGGACCATGCCAGTCTAGACGGCCAAGAGCTGGGACCCCGGAGTGGGGGACGCCGGGGCAGTGACGGTGGGGCCCGAGGGGGCCGCCACCAGCGCAGTGTCAGCCTGTAGCACGCTATCTGGGGCTTTGGGCTTGTCTCCCACCGTAGGCTCATCAGGGCCCTTGGGCTTCTTCCTGCCCCTCGGATCCCATCTTTCCCCTGGAGGCCAGCTGTGTCAGCCCTCTGTCTGCCCTGCCTCCTCGGCCTCCCCTGCCCCCTCAGGAGGCAGTCCTGCAGGGCCCCTTCAGAAGGCTGCTCTCTGCACTTATCTCCTTCCCCTTACCCCTCTGAGACCCTTGACTTCCCACCTTCTGACTTCTTTCCTTCCTGGTCTAGCTTTGCCCCTCAGGGAACTTGGTCTAGAACACCTGGGAAGCTCATCAGAGGAAATGAGTACCCTAACCAGAGGGGTGCAAGGGGCTGCTGCTCCTCACCCACCCCAAGGCGGCTCCCAGGGTGCCCTAGCTATGCTGCTGAGTCCTGCCGGCCATGTGCCCCGCCCTTCTGTCCTAGCCTGCCTGTGTGATTGGTGACTTTTCGCCTCTGGAGACACCACCACCCTCAGTGTGCCCTTTTGTGAACTGAGCTGCTGTTATATGTGCCCTGTAGCAGAACTTGCCAGATGGAAGGGAGCCTGACCCCATTATCAACATAGGGAATGTTATTCTAGACTGGCTCTGTATATGTGGTGTTTCTCCAGCTGGGCTGAGTCCTCAACCTTGCCCAGGTGCTAGTGGGTCCCTGAGGGGTCCATGTGGGAGGCTGATGCGGTCCCCACCCCTTGCTCTTGCAGTAGAGCTGGGCCAGTGTTTTGAGTGGGTGCTGCTGAACTGGATCTCAGCACCCTCCTGTGGGTGGCGTTAGGGAATTGGTGCTCAATTGCTCTCCCTTGCTTTCCCTACTCCACGGTCCCTGGGGAGTGCTTAGGCTAGCCTGTCAAGCCTTGCCTGCCATGATGGGGGGGAGTCCCCTGGCTGAGGGTCCCAGCCCTCCTCGGGGAGCTGCTCCAGGGGTGGTGCTCCCAGTGTGTGTAGGGAAGCCAAACAGATCTGGGTGCCTTGGGAGAGCTGGTCCTGCTGTGTCACCCCGAAAGGACAGGGAGCTCTTTCCCAGCCTGGGTGCTGCAGCACTTGGAGGAGGGGTGGGCCTTTCTGCACAGGCCTCTCCTACGCTCAGGTTGGAGGAGGAAGGTCACAATGAGAACCTTGGGGTTTGAGGTGGCCACTGGTGAGGAGAATCAGGGGACATGGGTGTGCAACGATGAGAACCTCAAGGTTTGAGCTGGCCACGGAAGGGGAGGGGAGACATGGGTGTGTGTGAGTGCATGTGTCAGTGTGAATGTGGGAAAGGGACTGCCTTGGTTTTATTTAAATAAAATAGTTTATGTAACAGTAAAGTTTACTGTTGGTGTTGGAGGGAGGAAGGGAAAGGGGCATGGAGGACGAGGTAGAGCAAGCCAGACTGTGGCAGGAGAAGAGGGAGGCCACACAGGTGAGTGGGGATGACCTGAGGAGCCAGTGTCCTGAGGCCATGCTGTGGGAACCAGGACACCAGGGAGGGCTTGGTCAGAGAAACCTGCAGGGTGGAGTAGGCACTGTGGGAACCAAGAGGTGAATGGGCCAGTGGGTGGGATCCTTTATCCAAAGGAAGCTGGTTCTCTCCTGCAGCATTCAGAGCTGGCTCGCAGTGGGGGTTATCTGTGTGTATCTGAAGTCACAGTTTAGGTGGGAGGGTGGGAAGTGCCTGAGAAATTTCTAGTGGCCTCCAGTTGGGGAGGAATGTGAACTGAGTAGCCCCAGAGGCCCAAAGCAAAAGGCTGGTCTGGCTACAGCCAGCTGGCTTGTGACGCTTCAGACCTGGATAAAGGCTGGCAGTCAAGGGAAGGAGACAGCTCTTGCCAGGAAGGGTGGCAAGTGGGGCCAGGAGCGGGCAGGTGAAGGAGCTGGAGGGACACAGAAGAGCAGTGAGTGCATCAGGAGCCTCTGTACTGGGAAGTCACTGTGTTCCTTGACAGGGACTGCTGCTGGGTCTTGGAGACCACCTTTGCTGGCCTGGCAGGTAGGTGGGAAATGTTGCCTTTATCAATAGCAGTTCACGGCTGTCTGAGTGAGCCAGCTTGGTTTCATTTATTTATTTACTTATTTTGTGGTGCTAGTGATGGAACCCAGGGCCTTGCTCATTCTAGGCAAGTGCACTACCACTGGCTACACCCCAGCCTACGTGGGCTTTTTTAAAAATTGTGCATATTAGAGGCGTATAACATGATGTCTTGATAAGTTACTAGAAGTGAAGTCTATTAGCATTTTCATCATTTTTTATACTCGTCTAACCTCCTGTGGCAAGAACAGCTTAGTATATAATAGTGTGGTTATCAGTCATGCATGGGCTTTCTGAGATGGCACTAAACTGTCTTGGCATGGGTCCTGTAAGGCTCCTTGGGGGAGGAGCACCAGAGGACTGTGCATGCCCTGCAGTTTCTCCCTGCAAGATCATTTGCCAGACCAAGTGAAGCCAGAATCAGAGAGGCAGTCAGCATAGAGGTAAATCATCGTGTCAGATCGGATCAAGGAGGCCAATTTTGAGTGGGTCTGGGAAGTGGGAGACTTCCCACTGAGGGATTGAAATGTTAATTCCTTCAGAGCCCTTCCTCCACCCTTACGGAGAACCTGCCTCTGCTCCAACCTGTTGCCAAGGTAACCTGTTCCAGGAATTGCCCCTCCCTCCTGGTTGTTAATGTGTCCTGGGCTGCTCCATCCTGCCCTTCCCCCTTCAGCCCACCTGTGTCCCACCTTTGGCCCTCCCATCCAGCATTCCTGGGCCTAGTCACTTAAGCAGGAAGGAGAAAGATAAGGGGAAGAGAGCAGGAGAACAGAGGAAGCCTAGGACATATAAAAAGGGCAGAACACCTGGCTTCTGGGGATACCAGGATATTAGCTATAGCCCCCTTCTCCCTCTGAGAGGGAGTCTAGGTTTTACCCCTTTTTAGCTAAACCCTGCTTCATATGCTTGCCTGGGCTGCTTCTCTAATGTTCAGACTTCAACATTCGGGGGAAGCAGGACTCAGGTAGGGTGGAGCAAGGCCAGGAGGTCAGAGCTGATGGTGGAAGAGGACAAGCCACAACCAGCAGTCTCCCTCTAGTGCTGATAGGTGCTCACCGGGTGCATCTCATTACAAGCGCATGCCTCGTCCCCATTGCTGTGTCCTCCCACCAAAGGGCTGGCACTTCAGTCTCCCCTGCCTCAGCACAGACCTTGTACTTCACAGATCATGAGGGGCTTTTGCTCTGTGTGCCTCCCCAAAGACCTACAGCACGTCTCTGGTACAGCAGTTGGGAGGACATCTCCAGTGGATGTCCCCTGGCTTCTACTCTGTTTTTTTGTCACCTATCCAATGGGACAGTGTAGGTCCGAAGAGCGTCCATCAAGGGGTGTTTTCAGCCATTTCTGTCAGCGGTTCTCAATGGCCTTGTCCTCATAAAAAAGTTGCACCTCCTTCATCTGACAGGCCCACAAATTGCTCTGATGTCTGGTGGATCCATCTCACTAGGGGAGGTGGCTTCTCCCATGTCACTGTCACATGCTGCTGGCAGGGGGCAGCAGCCACCTTAAGTTGGGAGGATCTCAATGAATCTTTGGTGCAGGGGATGAGGCTTGTAGTGTTTGTCCTGCAGACACGGAGGTCCTCCCCGTGCACAATACAGAGAGGCCTGGGAGACTCATAGAGGCGGGGGATTGTGGGCACCAGTGTAGAGGCCTCATGTCCTCCCAGACCCTGTGCATGTCCAGGAGACCTTGGAGTCACTGGCCCTGTGAGAGAGAGCAGGCAGTGTCTTGGGGTACTTGGTCCTTTGAGACAGGATATTTGGGAGCTGCTGACTTGCAGTGTGCTCACAGGTCACCTCCTGCTGGTCTTCCCTCCTGTCCTGCCCCTCCCTTTCCTGCTTCCTTTCCTAATCCCCCACTGCAGCTGCTCTGGGTGGAGGGACCAACAAAATGGCATATGCAGTTAATTAAGGAATATTTACCCAGATGTTTCAGTGTGCAAAACGCCATGGTGGGAATTGATGAGGCTCTAAATCGGGACAGCTGGATTTGGAAGCAGGCAGGTGTAGCCCCTGGCTAACTCAGGTGATGTGTGGTCACTCTCGTTCCAGACACTCAGACACTGATTCGCAAGCTTAGGCATCAGAATTACTGAGCATGCTGTCCAAGAAAGATTGTCCTTGACTGGTCTTTGCCACAATGAGCTGTTTGCATGAGTCACGTGGCACTTCTGGCCTCGGTATTCCTGTCTGCCCAAGGTGGCTACACCTGGGGCCTCTCAGGATAACTAAGCATTAAATTATCCAGGTGGCAGGGTTGACAGGACTGGGGTCCCGCATGAGATTGCGGAGCAAGTCCAGGTTGGTGAGGGATGTTCGTTCCTGCAGGCAGCGCAGAGACAAGGGGTGACAGCTGTGCATTGCAGTTGAGGAACCGAGGCCTGGGCAGTGGCTTTTACCAGGCAGGTGGCTGGTGGTCAGCACAATGTGAGTAAAACAGTTGATGATTCCAGCTCGGTTGGGAGGTAGGGGTGCCAAGAAAGAGGAACTTCCAAGAACCAGGATCGGGTGGAAGAGCTAGTTCAGAGGGCCACACCTCCTTCCTCAGCCTCATGCTTCATCCCACCTTCTTCCAGGGTCAGCCACGGTCCTTTGCACTCTTCCTTTAAAAAATAATTCACTTTAAAAAATCAAACATTTACTTTTAAAAAAGGTAATAAGACTTAGTCTACCAGAAAACTACTACTCGGAAATGTTTCTCTTCCTCAAAGCAGGAACACCAAGAAAAATATTCAAATTTCACATCACCGATCAAAAGTGCTGACTTCTTAGATTGGAAAAACTTAAGCTCAGCAAAAACTAGCTTTGAACAAGACTGAGCTTTTGTATATTTGATGGTGCTGGGGATTGAACCCTGGGCCTCACATTCTACCATTGAGCCCACCCCCACCCCACCTAAGCCTGGAAGTCAGTAAGATACTAAGAATTCTGACTACGAAAGTGACACATAAGAAATCCAAAGAGAACAAAATAAACTTAATGAAAGAGGAAGACCCTGGGAGCCCCCTCTGTGGCCCTCCCCCATCAAGAGGAACCCACTGGGTTGGGTACAATCCCCTCCAGGCCTTCTGTTCTACATAGATGCAAAGCAGGTTGATCTGGCCCATCTTTCACCTGGGTTTTGGCGCTTGGTGTCACACTTACTATATACTTGATGCTTTACCATCTTAACACATGTCAGCTGCATGATAGTCTTATTAAATAACTTTTTAAAAAACATCAATATCCCTTTTAAAAAATCATTCACACAAGTATGTGCTTATAATTCTAAAAAATGGACAGAATCTTAAAACACATTTAAAAATAATTTCTATTTTTTCACCACATGGGATGATAGTTCATGCCTTTTTCATACAAAACAAATGCTCTGTCAAGCCTATCTAAAAGAAAAAAAAAGTCTGTGCTACACGTACACATTGTGATCAGATATAATAGGATGCTCTTAGTCTAGGATTTCAATTGGATAACAGTAGAAAATTGGACAAATAATATACCTAGTACCCCTAAAATCCATAAATTCAGATTTTAATCCATAAATTCAGATCAAAACACTGCCATTTTTTGCTACTTGTTTAGCAAATGTTAATGGCATTCAATGCTGAGTACTTCATACTGTGTATTCAGTGGATTGTGTGAACATAACATGCCCACCATAGAGTTACATTAAGACAAAAATGTTGGGGCTGGGGATGTGGCTCAAGCGGTAGCGCGCTCGCCTGGCATGCGTGCGGCCCGGGTTCGATTCTCAGCACCACATACCAACAAAGATGTTGTGTCTGCCGAGAACTAAAAAATAAATTTTTAAAAAAAGATAAAAATGTTTTACTTGAAAGGCAGGAGTTGTGTAGCATATAGGATATTTGTCCACTGCTTCAGCACATTGATTACAAAGTGACAAGATGCCTCTATCCATGCGGATTTTGCAAAACTGCTCTTGCAGAGGAGCTTGCTGCCCTGTGGTTCTCATCTGTCTGCAGTGAAGCGTGATTTGACCCATCTTGGGTTCTGCCTTTCTGAGAACTCACTAGATCTGCAGACCCCAACCTCCGATGATTTATAGTTGCTCCCAGATATTTGAATTATTTTTTCCAGTTCTTTCTTAATGTCCTCAAACTGAATCCCAAACATATAACTTCTTTAACCATAGGATTTTGAAAGGCAGTAAGTATAATGGATTCTTTCAGTTAGTGATGGTATTTTTTTTTCAGCCGTTTTAACCAGACTTTTCAATTGAATGGGTTAAATGAATATCATTTATATATATATTCCCTTCTCTTCTAACAAACATTTATGC